CTTAAAGTTGTTTTTTTTATCAACTCTCCAACTTCCTTCACCTCTCCTCTGCTTCCTCACTTAATGTGTCTCCGAACCTCAAAGTTATTGATAGTTTAAAGTTATAGGCTAATAATAGGATGGACACTGCATGGCCAGGAGCCTATTATACCCAGATAATAGATGGTACAGGGATTTTGAATGACATTACCCCGAGATTGGATGACAAAGGGTGGAGGAATTTATAGCCTACCCAAAGAGCGGCCATTCTTCTCTTCTATCTCTTGCTGATAAGGAAGCAGATGAGGCATGACTGTATTTATGGTGAGGATGTTCATAAAAAAATAAATTAAATAATAAAACAAGTAGTGGATAAGGGCATAAAGTTTCGAGCTACTCAAAATGTATGCTGATGTTTGATTTTGATTAAGTAAAACATGACAATGGAGGATGATTTCTGACATCCACTGACATCTAGCAGGTATGGGTATGGATGCACCGGGAGACTGGAATCTAGGATATTTCAGCTTGATTGGTCCAAAACTGAGACCAGCTTTTATCCTTAAAAGCACCAGAGTTTTCTCCTGTGGTCCCAGCAAAACACTCTCTAGTGTGGATATTACATATAAAAAAGATGAAAGGTTACAGTAGTTTTCAGCATCAGGGAAGGGTTACTGATTTAGTAAAAGGAAGAACAAAGATATAACAAGCTTTTAAAAAACGTTTCAAGGTATACCTATACTGGCTAAAAGAGAGCAAGACATAAAGCAAATAAATAGAGAATATATATAAGTAAAAAACTGCAAGCTGTTTTTCTCTTTTCAATTTATTAAACTCTTTTGAAAATCTGACTTTTTTCATCTGAATATATAAAAGCCTGTTTTACAACAATTGGTCTGTCGCACAGACAATGAGACCAAGTCTCTCTTATTAAGATAAATGATCACATTTTGTATTTTGATTTTTAACTGTTAAATAGACACTTCAATTACACTAAATAAATGTCAGTAGGTTAAAGCTAAAAAGGAACCTGAAGACTGGAAATTAAAATCCGATTGGTTCATCCCTGCTGGATTTTCTGTTTTAAGCATGTTAATCCACAGGTCAACAAAAAGTCCTATAGCCTTAAAGAGAAGACATCCAGATGCTGTTTGATGTCAAAACTGAATGAAAGATAAAGAAATGGTTCAAAATAAAAAAAATGAAAATAAAGAGTTATCACAGTAGTGATCAGAACACCATAGGAAACTTCAATTTAGGTCATGAAATTTAAGCAAATTCTAACAAGTCCTGCAGGTTCAGGAAAGCAAACATGCATTAAAACCGGATCTATAGCGTTTACTCGTTAAGGCGTGCTCAGGTATTAAGAGCAATAACAACAGTGGGAATACTTTTTAGTTGTAAGGGTGGTGGTGGGAGAGATGAGTGAGCTGCATCAGGGAGAGCCATGAGAAAAGGCTTGTCAACATTATCTGTTTTATTGATTTTGCGATAAAAGCTTGCTGCTTAAGCTTTATGTTGCTCAATCTTGGTCCACCGAATATACAACCACTACAAGTTAAAAAAAAAAGAGAAAAGATACAGTTAAAAATCCAAATAAATTTATAAATCCAATTATTTTATAAGATTTTACCTGTTCCCGTTAAAGCTATTTGACAAACTGAATATGGTATTTAGTCTGCTTTTTATAACAAATAAATCAATGACGCCGAGGGCAGCAGGTCTTTATCAAAAGGATAGTGTTCTACTGTAATATAAGGTCTAATTAAAACATCTGAGGAATTATCAAGCAGATTGAGAAAATGGCTAATGTCAGCTGCACACATAGCTTTGCTGTTAACTTCATTCTAACAAACATGCAGGCAGCAAACATTCTGCCAAGTGCTGGTTAAATAATTAAAAGCTGGACTAACTGCCTTTACAGACTAAGAAATGCAAAATGTGAAGCAGGAGCAAAAAACATCCATTTGCCACATAATTTAGGAGATTATTACTAGGAGCTGATGTAGCAGCTAAGCCTAGTTTCACAAAGACAACCTTAAATAAGTGAAACAGTTCACATTAAGAAATTGGGATCAATAGCAAAGTTATCCTTTCATTTTCTGCAAACAATTTTTGTTGCACAGTGTTTATTATTGTCTGGCCTGCTTGTTCAGGTAGTAATATTTAATTCAACTCCAATTTAACCTTCACACCTGAGTCTGCACACCATACATTTAGTGAAAAGCCCCTAAAAGAATTGAAATTGTTCAATTTTCAGCAGCGCAATACAACAGGTTTACTGACAAACCATTTGCTGCCCTGTCCCCATCTGAAGCTTCCAATTATTTCTTTATTGATCTGAAAAAAGTTGTACAATATCTTTTACCAACATTTTTTTTCCCAAATAATCTGAAAAGTGTGGCATGTACTGTAGTTGCCATGAGTCAACAGGCCTTTGAAGAACAACAATACTCTTGCATTTAAATCTATATGGCTCATCATTCTGTTTCAAAATAAAACAAACACAAAAAATAATATAATATTCTATTGTTGTTTTTTTATATAAAGAAAAATGTATTGATGGGTTGCAGAAGCCAAATTATAATTGATGTTCACTTTTACCTTGGATTTTGTTAAAGCCCAAGTGAGCAAACTGTTTTATTCTGCTCTTACTCAATAATAGAGGTTTGGCAAAAATAGTTACTTGGCTAGAGGATGGAGAAGTTACCTCACCTGCACCACATAAAATGTTGATGCGTTTGGGGTCATAATGTGAATATTTGGTTGTTAAAATTAGGTTTATATATGCCTGTGGTTAAAAAAAAATCTAAAAGTTCAGGTCATCCAAATGAGCAGTTGGACATATATCCTTCAGAACACAGAGTTTTATGAAAAAAACATTAAAAAGTCCTTGTACTACTATATAGCTTAGTGCTGCAGAAAGTATTACTTTTTTTTTTTTTTTTGAAAGGTTACAAGTATATAAAAAAGAAAAACAAAGGATGTTGGATCCATGCTTGTTAACATTGGTTCAATAAAAGTTATCACTATAATAAACTATTTATTTTTTTGTCAGTAAGAAAATAATGCGAATATTGAGAATACTGTGTGGCCAGAAAAGAAAACATGGAAAAAAAGAAGAATATAAAATTGGAGTTAAAAGAAAACAAAGAAAAAAGGAATAAAGGATTCAGAGATGAAGAGCTGAATGGACAGAGCTGGTTAGAAATACGCACTCACATAGCAGTAATCCATATCAGGCATTAAAATGTTAAACAGTGCAATCCCACAACAGGAGCAATGTTAACCCCTCTGTGTTAATTATTGTTGAAATAGAAAAATATAATTAGATATGAAAGGGAAACAAAAACTATTTATGGCAAGCAAAGAATCTGACTTAATGATCAGAGCAAAGCTAAGACCTCTATTGATTCCCTGTTAAATATACAGCTCAATTAAAGATACAGCTGATTAAAAGATAACTACAACTTGCTAAACGAGATGCAGAGACGTGGGGGAAGTGCAGGAACCTGGGGTGTACGGCTACACTTAAAGGAATACAAGATATAATTCATCCTTATGAGCAGCAAACAAGAAAAAATTTAAATCACAAATTATTTTTTAACCAAGTACCTTTCTCTTAAAGAATGGATGGATGCTTAATGAAAATCGGGGTGACTTTTTAAAATACCCCTTCAAACAAAAACAACACAAAATCTACAGGATATAATGCATTTTTTTAATAATAATGTGAGCTGAAGAATAATTATGCTGGGCTTCATATACAAGATGATGATGACTTTACCGTTTTCCTGTTATAACGATTCACTTTCAACATTTTCCCTTTTTCCTTGACATTTGTCAAAAACAAATAAAGAAACTTGATACATTTTGAATCCTCTTGATGCAAGGAATTCAAAATTGCTAAGTTTAATGGAAAACCTGTTTGTGTCCTATTTGCGAAGAAATTGCTTAAATCATTTAAACTCTGCTTTAAACGTGGCATTTTTTTCTTCAATATCTAATTTTTTTCTTTGTTGTTTCATACAGCCTTAATGCTAACAGAAGAGAACACACATTAAATGGATCACATTGATCTTTCTTCTTTTATTAAACCGGGAACTTAAAACGTTTTAAAGGGGTGGCTTTTTTCTGCTTTCAACACAGCTTTGTACTGTTTATCTTTGACGAAGCACAAATAAATTTTTAAAGTCTAATGCTTGATTAGCAAAATGCTAATTAATTCATGAGAAATGCAAAATGTTGCTCTATCATATATGTTTTTAATAGAATGGAAGATGCTAGCCACATGTGTTAAGCAGCATTTGAATTAGGGCGCCTGGATTAAAAAGTAACGTTTTTTTTCTTGTTCTGGTAGTGAATTCATTTTACCAGTATGCTGTTTCCTGGATGGACATGAAGAGTGTCACAATATTTTGGAGCTACTGTGGCCAGAGATTGGATTTTCAACGAAAGCAGTGAGCTAAATCTGCTGTATTTATGCACAACATGTCAAAGTTACCGTACATCTATATGAAAGGTCTCAAAGATGCCCAGCAGAGAGCTGCACTGCCAACAGATGAGAAACTTAACTCTTAACCTTCAGATTTCAGATTTTTTTTTTTTTGGTATTAATACAAACGAATTTTAAAATCCAATATAATGTTTTCCTACTTAAGACATCTGATCTTTAATAATAATAATAATAATAATAATAATTGTGCAGTTATGTCTATTGCTGCTTTTACATTGAGTTCTGCTTTTTTTTTCAGGTTCAGAGATCTTGTGCAATCATAATAGCACAATATCACATGTAAATATAAATAAATCACATGTACGATGCTGAATTCATGGGAAAATTAAGCTTGTTTTGTTTTCACAGAGCTTTGACTATTTATTAAAAAAATAAATAAATCAATGTAAAACTTTGTGAAATCAATTATTATTTCTATTTAGAAATGCATTCAATCCACCTTTAGTGATTACTAATCGGCTGTATTATATATTGCTGTATTATATTAAGAAGAGAGTAAGCATACCTGTAGGGAGTTGAGAAGAATGAAGAGATAGGCCATAACGATGGAAAATGGGACCAAAACACCACACAACCACGTCAGTCCGAGGATCGGCAGCAACACCAACACTGCTTTCACTGCAGCCCTGAATGAATCATATAAGGAAATTAAACAATATTTGAAAATATGAGCATTAAAACACACATTAAAGAAAAAAACTTTAGGTGTACTAACTGATAAAGGACATGTCTTGGTAAAAATTTGCAAAACTGATTAAGTTGTGTCAACATATTGGCTTTGATTTCCAATTCAAATTAAATTTGCTCCAAATGTTTTCTCTTTTTTAGCCAAGAAATGTAGAATTAAGAGAAAAACTCTTACCTGGTTATTGATAGAGGAACTATATTTAAAACTAAAATGAGTAAAGCTTCAAATACACATACTATATTTTTTATGAGCTGATGCTAAATGAGGTTTATTAAGTTTGTCCTTACATGGATAAATATTTTTTTGGACTCAAACAAGCAGCAGCAAAAAATATTTACTCATTCTTTTCTGATTATATTAAGCTTGATTAGTACATCTTCCAGCTTGGACTAATATCCATCAGTTACATTTTCAACTCTTCATAGAGGAAAATTCAGCAGCTCCAGTAAGCTGCTTCCTCTATACACAAAACCATGTGGGCAAGAAAATCTGATGTGGTGACAACTTCCCACCCTCAATGTGACTTAATTCTGTTTAGAGTCAAATTAACTTCCCACTCAGGTGACTGCCAAACCGCAACAGCAGTCTGTGCGTTTGTGTGTTTGTGAAATGACATGCAACTGGAGCTGCTTTATTCTGTGGGCCAAAGCGTTCAAGTTTCCACGGCGGCTTGTCGTCTAGAGGTGCTAAACAGTTCAAGGGCTGCATTGAAAGCTCTCACAGAGCATCCACTGTCCTCTACAATGGAGCTAAGAATTAAAACATCAACATAAAATATACTTTTTATTTGGATTAACATCCGTTCTGAACACAACCAACATAGAGATGCATGCTATTATGTTTATGAATCTATGGGGACCATTCCTTGAGTATGTTAACAAGTCTGATATCTCACTTATTCCAGACCCCAACGCTTAAAATGGACATAATGTATAATATGCTTAAGTTGTCTGTGTCTATTTAGCTATTTGAATATGTTATGTATTTAGCATTTGCTCTTTAATGTTAAGGTTTTTGTTTGCTTTTGAATGTCAGTTTGTTTGTTTATATGTGTGGGGGTTTATTTTTCTTACAAAAAGAAAGCTGCACTTTATTGAGATATGTTATTTGTGATATTTTTGCTTAATAAACAAAGTGGAAACAAAAGATGAAAAAAAGTTGCACGATATTCAGCATGCAAATTTTTTTAATATGACTACAGGCAATGATGCTCTTAATACTTTCTCTGCATCAGATTTAAAAAGTGACACAGTACTTAGTTATAAACCAAAACATTTTAGAGATCCTAAAGAGAACAACATGAAACATAAGAGGGAGACAAACTGTATGAATATGAGGTATGAATTTTAGGTTTGTGTTCATATAATATTAAACAAACCTACTTAATTATAAAAATAAAATTCTGCAGATTAATAATAAGAAGAAAAAAAATGTGGATTTGACTCAATACAACGTTACCCTGGGCGCATTTATTTTGAAAAGAGGACAAATGGTGCCTCCTAGTGGTCACTACCTGATTTGCTCATAGGCTTGTTCAACAGGACTCAGACCCAAGGCAAGCATGATGGACCTTCTCTTAGCTGTGGAGATGGTGATAATTACCACTCTGGTCAGAACCAAGATGTTGACCTGGAAATATGCAAAAAAAAAACATTAAAAACAAACAAACAAACAAAATGATTGAGTTATTTTCCATTTTGAATTGAGAAAGCTTTCTGGATGGGAAAATAGACGTCCTAAACTTTGAAAACAAAGTCAAGTGGTTTGCTTTTAAGTTTTTTGGAAGTTATTCTATCATTTGTCTTTTCATCACGACTGTGAGAAAGGTAAAAATAATCTGAGAATCAAAATGAAAAGAAAAAAACACAACATTGAATAGTATGTCTTTTCTTGTGGTATTTCAGTTAAGGAAAAAGGGCAAAATTATAAGCTATCATTAATCTAATTTCAGAAATAAGGTTTAAAAAATTTATATTGCAAACACTGATCAATCTGTTGAATATCTAAAAGAACAAACAGTTTCTTATCTGTCAAAAAATCTAAACACCATGCTTTTTATTTTATTTGTTAATTTTTAGCACTGAAAAAAAAACATTAGAAACTATTTAAAAAAAAATACTAACCATTATGATGAAGATAACAGGTCCAACAAATCCCCAAATGATGCCATTCTGGACACTGAGCCAGCAGTAGTCATCAGCTGAATATTTACCAGAGGCTGATGCAAGAGTGATGGTTACTATCAGTACAGGCAGACCTGGGAAGGATAAAAAGATTAAAACTAATTCAATTAAACTGATTTTTTTTTAAAGATCCTAATAAAAATTACAAACATCTGTGGCAATGGAGTCTCTAGTCCTATTTACCAGATTGTTTTTAATCTCAAAGAATATCTACTTAAAACAACAGTGTGTAACCTTTGACCCAAGTATGATGTTTATTTGAGACATGAAATGAGTTTTCAGGTCAATATACAGCACTTGGTTCTTTTCAATGCTCTGGATGGCCTGCTCTTCTCAGAAACTTGCATATTTTATTTTAGAGGATCGGATCCGTCACTGAATGAGATATTTGACTCATAGTCTTTCTGAACTCCCCTTAAACACAAGAGTTAACAAAGCTAAAAGCTTGGTATTAGCTAATAAAACAAATATGGCACTTGATGTGATAAGAAATTTTATCCGCTGTAATGTAGGAATGTAATCTAGAAGAGCGAATGTGGCCTTTACTTTACTAGTAACTCCATTACTTGGTTTTTGATGGTCCAAAATGTTCTGCTATTAGAATCCAAATCACAGAGAGAGACTGTTTATCTTTGCAGAGTTGTCAGTTGCAGAGCACTCGTGCTCAGATAATGTTGCAAATACCCGGTTTGATCCCCAGAGGCTCCACTGTGGGTCCCTGAGCAAGACCCTTAACCCCTGATTGCTCCCCAGGTGCCACACAATGGCAGCCCACTGCTTCCCAAGGGAATTGGTAAAATGCAGAGAGTTAATTTCCCCATTGTGGGATAATAAAGGGATTTGCATATATTACATGTATACTTAAGACACCAATTTTTTTTGTTTTTTTCCTAGCAGAGGCACTAGACCTTTTACAAAAAACACTTTTCTATTCAAAGCCACTTTTCCAGCCACAAAACAATAATCATTTGCAAAGCCACCGTACCCCAGCCAATGAGATAGTAATACTTCATATGATGAACCTCGCTGAGGTTGACTGCAACTACTTTGCTCCAGAGCAGCAGCCCTTCGACAAGCATCCAGCTAAAAGATGCCATGAAGAAGAGATGGAGCAGTGCAGCTACAAGTGTACACGCCACCTGTAAAATAAACAAAATAAAAATACCACTAATAAAGAGAAGTGTTGAGGCTTTCACATGTCATAGCAAAGGTTTTCTTTGTCCAGATAGATTTTTGCTAAGAATGAATATTTTCACTAAAGTTAGTCCCATAAAAAGCTCATTAATGTCCATAATAATATGGCTGATATAACATGAAATATAAATACAAATTCAAGTCATGGCTTTCTAAATGCAGCTTATTTTGGGCTAAAGATGTAGGAAAATATATAAAGCATGTAAATCACATTAGTCTTCCAAACAAATGAATGATGCTGTACTGTTTGGGGTCTTACTGTGGTAGACCTTGTTAAGTGCTGAAATAACTAACAAGCATCCTCTCACCCTCAGGGTTTAATCCAGTCTTGATACAAAGAGCAGGAGTTCAGCTGACTGTGCGACCACTGCAGTTACTAAGCTGACTGTTCTATTTCTTTAGATCTAATCATTTAGCAAAATCAGCTGTTTTCTATTCATTTTTAAATCTCTGCAACCTCAAAGATTTTATTTGGTTCATTCCACCTTCCAATAAACATTCCTTCATTATTACCAAATAAAATTAAAGTACACATATAAAGAACATCAGCTCCATAACAGTATATTCTCCAACTAGCAAACTTCTGCTGTCTCATTTGATTCACTTTTTCATAATCTGTCCCTAAGAGCGACTACATTACTCACAGTAAATAAAAGAAGATTTGTTTATAGCCTGTACAGTACCTTGTTGTGAATGGCTGAGCCACTGCAGAGCAGAATCACCTGGGCACAGATCAGAGCTATGAAGAGGTTTTTATGGATGGAGGTCCTGTCTGATTTAGGGATGCTATAAACAGAGAGAGGGATGTTACAGAGAAAAACGTGCTGTGTGGCTGTATCACATCACATGGCTGCTGATGAAATTTGTGAATTCAAATAAAAGGTTTTTCTAGGTTTTGTCTCCTAATAGATCCCCATTAGATGTATAAAAACAGCTCAGAGGATTGTTGTAAACCTGTAATCTTTTTAATATCACTCCTCTTCTAAATAATCAACCCCTCTAAGACAAAATAAAAGAACGGATAAAACAAAACAAAGAACTCTGATTATGTGTGGATCCTGAAGATAAGTCTCAAAGCATTTATTGAAACATCTGATAAGGATATGCAAAAAATATTCCAAATAATTACTCTATTTTAACAGAAGATTTTAGATCTATACCATATAGTTCTTAGTGAAGAAAACAATGCATGCAAAACAAAGCAAAATAACAAGAGACACAACTGAATTATCCCTTTAAAATAAAAAGTTTGACAGTAGTTTTACTCTGGAAATCACTGTTTTCAATTTTTTGACATCTTAGGTTTTCTGTCTTCTCTGAGTGTGTAATGTAACATAGAGCTCTAAGTCACTGCTCACTAAACTGGATATGATAAATGTGTCAGATGATCCAACCTTAATCCCAACTCGTCCATATTGCACAATATGCTTTTGGTTAAAGCTCCCTGCACATCACATACTGACACGATGAGGGAACCATTCTCGTAATTTATTGATTTCCAGGGTAAATGACAGGTTGTGAACATTGTATCACATGACCCACAACAATGTTTAAAACATTTTTAGCCAAAAAATGTTATTGCAGGACAGCTTTAGGAGTGTACGTTAACAGGGATGGGTTAGTGCTAGTTTAATGGCGTGCAGTTAATAGAAAATGCTTGAGGTTTTTGCAATTACCTGCCATGCACCCAACATGACAGGTTTCGACCTGAAAAGCTTAACCAAGCGTCAATTTTGACGCCTTGGAAGTGAGAATGCATTGAATGATCATAATGCAAATTATGAGGTCACCATGTCTTCATAATAAATAATCAGATGCTATGTATTGTCCAACTCTTGGTTTGACAGGTAACCCATAAAAATTTTTTTTCTTTTGATTGAGCATTTTGGCAACAAAAAACTCCCTGCAAGGACCAACTGAATATAAAGTCTCAGGGATCATTATATTCTTTTCAAGAATAAAACAGCCAGACTGCATTAAACAGTATCTTTGCTGACAACATAAATGCATCAACAGATTAGCAAAAATTCTGTTAGATAGGTAGCAGTCATTGCTTTGTTCCTGCTTCATTTGTTTTTAGAACCGCCATCACAGACATAATCAAACTGGAGCAGAATAAAACTGGGACCCCCAAAGTATTATAACACACGTTTGCACTTCACCTCACATATGCGTGCAAATGCTGTGGTGCCTGGTACTAAAACATCAATTAAAGCTCAAAGATTTGACCCAATTAGACTAATGTCAGCACCAGTACTTCACACCAAATAAATCTTACAGTCTCTTTGCTAATCTTCAGCTCTGCCCATCAGTGTTTTATCCGTGTGATGAGTTAAATGAAGATCATACTGTAGACTGTGTTAAACGACCTGCTGCCCTCTGAGCTCTAAAGACATTTATAAATTGTCAGGGCAGCACCTCTTCTGCTGATTGAGATCCCTGTGTGACTCTAATGTTAATTATCAGCTGCAGTTTTACCCCCATAAAACCTCTAAGCAGAATCACATGTAGACAGCAGCAATTACTGCATTAGAACAAGTCAATACTGACAGAGCTCTGTAGGACACAGGGGGCGGAGCTAAGGTCCAGTATGTCATCTAATGCCAGTTGATACTTCAGCTTAATTAAGCTACTCTTCTGGAGATCAACAGCATATCATTGTATCTAATGGGACTAAATTAAATAACATAAAAATCCCTTTCATTATCATAAATAATCAATTAAATACTTTAATCCACACATTGCAATAAGGGCCGGTCGATAAAATTTTTTTCTAAAACTAAACAGGTCAGACATAATGTCTCTTTGTTATCATCTGCATCTTTAGTAAACAGTTAAGGAAAATTGACTAACTACTCACTCCAGCACAGTGAAGAGCATCAGGGTCACCACTAGTGCGCAGAGAGAGGCGCCACAACCAATGAACGTAAGCTTGGTCAAAATAAGTTTTTCTTCAGGACTCCACTGAAACAAAGGAACAAAGATGGAGATTTGTATGTAATGTGAATCTTTCAAAGATTTTCTTATATTGTTAGTGAACATTTTCTTTATTTAAAGTGACAGAGTTTTTTTATCACAAGTTTTTTACACAATTTAATTTCCATTGGGGATTAATAAAGTACACATCAGTTAAACCAAACTAAATTAAACGTCCCTTCTATGACAAAAGAATGTGTTCATGAGTGGTCCTCTAGTTTCAGCTACATGTGTTTCACATACACAAAGATATTTACCTCATTAAAATATTTCAGGTTTTACCTCGGGTTCAAAGTAGTTCATCAGAACAGCAAAATTGGTTGTGTGGTTACACAAACAAGAAGTGACTCCAGAGGAGACAGAGATCACAGAGCAGCCATCACTGGACCAGCTACTGGTATGGCTGTGCCTAGATAACACAGCATTGAGACAAAAGGAAATGCTGATTAGTTGGATGGATGGATGGATGGATGGATGGATGGATGGATGGATGGATGGATGGATGGATGGATGGATGGATGGATGGATGGATGGATGGATG